GAGAGAGAGAGAGAGATAGATACTATGTTTGCGTTCCCATTCAAGCCAGTTCAAACAGGATATTAAGCTGCAGTTTCACATAAAAATGCTATGTGTCCCTCATTGAAGCTTAGAGATTTACATGGCGGACTTTTTGTGCGATTCTTTATAACGACATATTATTCGCTGACTATTTGCCAAACACCTGTGGCCTGACAGCTCTAGCCTCCACCAGGCCTTTCTACGGGAAAACGGATCGGACAATTCGGCAAAAAAGAGAGTAAAATTGGCCAAGAGAGTCCGACCCTCCAGCCAAACCTACAAGGCGGCCAAACTCCCCTGGCAACTATTCTCCTATATATAGCCAGCGTAGTTAGTCTGGTAGAGACTATGAGAACTGCACCGTCTGTTACATCCGGCTGCATTTCACACGTACGTACAGAAGACACCGAGACACTGACTGTACAAGATGTTGTTCTACCGTCTGGTCGTGCTGACTGCAGTTCTACAGTGGTCTGTTGCGACAGCGGAAGATCGTAATGATCAGACTATTCTGTCACTGTGCAAGATATGGGAGAAGTGCGTTACTCGTAAAACAGGTAGGGATTATCAATAGTTGTCCGTGATGTGTAAAGAAAGGTGTACCATATGGCATTCAAGTATACCATATGACTTGTAAGAAACAAAGGCGATATCCAAACATCAGCAGGTTAATAGTCCACACAACATTATCAATAATATAATGAACTAGAGTTCGACAATCTCATACCTCCATGACATGTTTAGTGCTTTCGTAAAGCTTATGCATAGTGATGATCACATAAATGGCTTACATTTACAATCCTGCTCATTAGCAAAATTTTTATACAAATTATTCACATAGCCCCTACCTAGTAACATACAACACACTGGTGGAATCCTTACCATTTAACATGGACAACGTATGATATTGTTGGTTATATGCAAGTATGCCGGCGCCCTCTGACATACCTTTGCCAACTCATGTTTGCCATCCAAGCTGACGAATTATACATTTTTTTACTGCCAATATGCAAATTATAAGAGACCATTTGCATATATTATATCATTTGATCATATTCTCCGCCCAATGACAGGGTTATCTTAAGAAATAAGGCTATTCTAGCGTTTCCTCATAAATTATGCAAATGAGGTCCTGATTTGAATAAATTATGTTTAGTGATGTTCGCCTTAATTGAACTTCCAAGTATGGCAAGTATTAAATTCCCAGCAGTTACCACCATAAAATTGTACCAATTTGCCATTAATTATGCAAATTAGGTCTTCATTTACATAATCAAAATCTACATATGATCTTGTTGTTCTCAATTACATGTCACACGTGTTTCATAGCCCTAATATGGAATACAGCAGATTTATAGAATTTCCTCATTAATTATGAAAATTAGATCCTGATTTGCATAATTGTATTTCAATCATGTCAAGCATCACTTCAGCTACCTACATACCAAAAATCATGACAATCCGTCAACCGGTTCTTGAGTTATGCACCTTCGGAGATTTATCAAGAAACGCTCCTGCAGTTCCAGAACAAGCTGCTAGGGGGCCCAAACTCATGTCACTTCTTCCCTACCCCAAGAGCTATCTACCAACCAAAATTCGTGACCCTAGTACGTCTAGATCGCGAGATATCAAAACCGGAAGTTCTGCTGCAGTACCAACAAAAGCCGCCAGGGGGCCCAAAATCTAATCATTTCTAGGTCTCATCAAGACCTACCCACCTACCAAGTTTCATGACAACCCATATCAAGCTTCTTGAGTTATGCTGTTCACAAACAAACAAACCAACAAACCAACAAACGGACAAACGCTACTGAAAACATAACCTTCTTGGCGAAGGTAAATATAACCTCCATGACACATTTCATGGAGGTAATTATCAATAATTGCCTTTGATATCTGAAGAAAGGTGTACAATATGGAATTAAAGTGTTCCATATGGCATGTAAGAATCAAAGGCGATATCCCAATATCAGGTTATTAGTCCACACATTGTGATAAATGCATGCGCAGGCCTAAGATATGACATGTTTGCAGATATGTTCTCCATCAACATGAAGTACTTGAACGTATATATCTTAAGCATCAAATATGTGTTTTTCCCAACCACTAAAAGCACATATAGTCTAGTCCACACATCAAGAAAAGTATGTGCGCAGGCCTAAGATGTTTTAGATATGTTCTCCATCAAAATGAAGTAACTGAATATATCTGTATATATCTTAAGAATTTGCGTTTCTTCCAACCATTAAAGCCGTGTACCATATGGAATTCAATTGTTCCATTTGGCTTAGAAAAAAGCAAAGGCGATATTCCAATTATGCAAGGTTTAATATTATTAGTCCACGCATCAAGAAAAGTATGTGCGCGTGATGTGACATATTTGTAGATATATTTTCCATCAAAATGAAGTAACTGAACGTATATATCTTATGAATATGATTTTTCCATGTCATTTTTGTCTAACTGACGAGTGCAAGCAGATTTCAGAAGTCTTTGTAATGGTGTTGAACAATCCACGTTGAAAGCAATTTTGTGCTATCCTACCATTCAGGAGGTTATAATGTAGTTACATTGATAATATGTTTACTGCAGTTAAAGTCGCTGAAACTGGGGAGATTGCGAAGCTGCAGACGGTTTGCCAGGATGTGGCAGACATGTTGGAGACACGTGGCGTGCAGAATTGCGGTAAACCTCTAGATCTTATTACGTTCGTTTGAAGCATAAAGCAAATATATGACATGCATAAATTGACTGAGCACTTTCTCAACTCAACTATAATAGGCTGATGCGGTATAAGTTTAAAAAACACACCACACCTTATCCTCCCTGGTCTCCCATATTTAGACTACTGTATGCTACTTTCTGCATTCTGTTACAAATTCTTAGTGATAGAATTGGATAATTAGCTTCCACACAAAAATGCTTTAGTTAGGATGCAGAACATTTTGTCTATTAGTTAATTCTCTCTTATTGCTCTTTCTCTATAGGATCAGTTTTATCTGGAGGCGACGAAAAACAAGCAGACAACGAGTACCAGCCTCAGTCCTTCCTGGCCTCTCAAGCTCTGAGAATGTTCGGTCGAACAAACTACTTTACTGACTGTTCTGAGATCCACACAGCTCTGTCCCTGCTCAACCCTGTGTCTAATGCTGTGTCTAGTGGTGTACACGACATAAAACCTTTAGGTATGAGCAATCCGATCTCTGTATACTGTGATCAGACCACAGATGGGGGAGGGTGGACGGTCATACAGAGGAGGTTTGACGGGTCCCTTCATTTTGATCGACCATATAACGACTACAAGTATGGGTTTGGGTCAGCCAATGGGGAGCAGTGGTTAGGGTTGGAAGGCATGTATCATTTGACTTTCCACAACGCGTACGAGTTGTACATAGAGCTTGAAGATTGGTCCGGCGTGGTCAAGCACGCCAAGTATTCCTCATTCTCGGTTGGGGATAGTTCCACCAATTACCGATTGAATGTTGGTGGGTACAGTGGGACGGCTGGGGATGGGTTTGACTTGAGGAGCCTATATGCAACAAATAACCTAAATGGCCAGGGCTTCAGTGCTAGGGATGTGGACCATGACGCGACTCCCGGGTCCTGTTCTGGCAACGGCTACTACTCAGGTGGATGGTGGTACAGGAGCTGCTCCCTATCTGCCCTCAATGGCCCTTACCTGCGCCCATCCGATCGTACAGCTTATAGTGGCTTCGGCGTAAATTGGTACCCATTTGGAAGTTCCTATTGTCACTATCTGAAAAAGTCCAAAATGATGATCCGTCCCAGCGACTTTCAGCCTTGAGTTGCCAATCTCCAAGCAGACAATACGATGGCAAGGCAGTATCAATTGGCCAGAGGAGTGTCCATTAGTAGTGATTCGTTTATTGAAAAGAACAAAGAATATATCAGACTTGCTGTAAAAACTGAATTGTGCTGATATTTACAACTTATAGGATTATATAATACTAGTAGATATAAGAGGGCAACTTACACTTACATTTTGTCGGTGCCTTATAAGCCCATATGGGCTGGGCGACATATATATATATGATCGCAATGGCACGAAAATAAAGTCATTCTTTCATTCATTCATTCTTTCATTCATTCATTCATTCATGCACTTGTAATATACTAAATTTATGAAAAAAAAAAGAATCGTCGTCGTCATATTATTATAGCAATATAAGTAAAACAATATAATTTCTCACGAGTAAGATCACTACTGTCATTCTACATTAAAATGACTGAAAGTCTTTGAAATTTTAAAAGTTAGTCTGGTTCGAGCGCTAAGGATATGTACAGTTGGCGGTAAGAATTCGACTTGACACAATAAACAATCGATAGTACTGAGATTAGGGTCCAACCCGATTAAAAATTCAGTTAAGAAGTTTGTAGTCCGACCAGGAGTTTTGCTAGTGCAGGTATCGCACTGGTTGTGTAGCGCTTAGTGCCCTTGGCCTGGCAGTAATGGAGAGAGTTCCTTAGCGATCTACCGTGTAGTTGTCCTTTAGTCGATGGCAGCCAGGAGCGGAAACGTGACGATTGTCTGATTTTGGTTGCAAAGTTAAGGCATAGGTCTTGCTAAATATGTTTCAATGCAGTATTTGTTTTTTGTCTTTGACAAAGCTGGTCTGTTAATGTGTTCAATCATCTTATCCCTTGGGTGATTAGCCTGCACAGGGGGACCTGGTTTCAGTTAAAACCAAAAAAGTGTGGTACTAACCAAAAAAGTGTGGTACTAATTTTATGCAAATGAGTTTTAGTACCGCACTTTTTGGATAGTATCACACTTTTTGGATAGTACCACACTTGTCTGCACTATGGGGATATAGCCACAGAATATAAGGGGCTCTCAGTGGCTGAGGTGTAGTGGCCATGTTCTAATAGACAGTAAACCATCCAAATCAGGGCCTTGTTTGCATACATTTATGAGCAAATTCTACAATACCTTCTTTGCTAAAGATCAAGATGAGGCTTTCATACCTTTATGGGTTTGAGTTTTCGCACCTATGTCTGTGTAGTTTTACGCGTATCAAACAGCTTAGCAACACTGCAAACTACTTCTTTCAGTTTT